AAAAATTTTCATCTTTAATTATGGTCTCCAAGCACTGATATATGTCTTTTTATATGTTAAATTCTTTCCTTCAGTGTTTAAGTTTGTATTAGTTTTAGTACTTATTGCATTTTCTAATATCAAAACTCAAGTGTTTCTTTGGGTATATAACCAATCTCATTATCTGTCAGTGATTATTTACATCTTCCTAAATTTTTGTATGCCTTATTTTTTTTACACTGGACTGTCCTATTACACTTTTTTGAATGTTCTAGTAACTCCAACGTCTCAGAAGTTAGAGGCCCTTGTGCTGGGGGCACAGCCCTGAGCTCACTTCTGGGGGTTTCTGTTGCAGGCACATACTGATCAAGAAGCTCAGCCAGCTGAGAGAGAGTGAGCCTGACCTGGCCCAGCTGCTTGTCGATCAGGTGAGTCTCCTGGAGACTGGCTGAGAGCGTGAGAACAGAGGGCTGCACCTTCCTTTGAGGTTGGACAGCTGTTGCCTCTAACACCCTGTTTTAAGAAGGAACAGCTCTCTCCACATTAAAATGTCCCTGAGTTGGAGCTAGGACAGGGCCCCCATCCCATTAACAAGGTCACCACCCTGCCTTTCAGATCTATGAGAACGCCATGATCGCAGCAGGGCTGGTCGATGACCCCCGGCCCATGGTGGGACGCTTGAACAACCTGCTCGTCAAGGCCCTGGAGCGACACTGACATCTGGGCCCTGTTGGCCAGGGTGCAGCACAGCAGCTGTGAGAGCCCCACGTCTTCCCTGCGCTGTCAGGGCTCCAGGGAAGGTGACAATGGACTGTGCGCCTCTGTCATGGGAGGAGGAGGAGCCGGGAAGGAACGATTGGATGCCACCAATGAGAACACCCCCTTTAGAGCTTTATTTACTTAAATTAAAAGATATTTCTTCACCTAAATGCTGGACTCTGTGTGCATACTAACAGGGTAAGTTACTCTGGTGCCACAACCCCATGCTTAGGATGGATGCAGGTACAGTGAGAAAAAGCCTACTTTCCATCCCCCCTCAAGCTGGGATAGTGGTCAGGGGGACAGTAGGGAGGGGAGAGAGGGGGCGCTGGCCCTGTGCTCCGGGAACTCGCACTCGTTTCCTAAACTCCATCCCCAGAACCTGAAGGCGACAACAGGATCAGCCGTCGTCGTCAGTTCTTCGTGCAGGTCCCCAGGAGCAGCCACAGACAAGCAAGAGAAGCTAGAAGTGTCCAGCTGGGGCCCCGGGCCTGCTCTTGTCAGGCTCTCTTGAGCGTCACCTCCACCGGGTAGTGGTCACTGATGGCTTGGGCCTGTGGAGAAAGATGCAGTGAGCAGGGGTGCCCGTGTGGCAGTCCTCCCTGAGAGCCAGGTGTGCACCCAGATACTGCACTGCCACATCGGCCAGGGAGGAGGCTCCCAGGCTGTGGACAAATCAATGAAAAAAGCAGCGATTGCTACAAGTCCCGTGGGTCCAGCTCTCACTCCACCCCTGCGTCCTAGGCCCCCAAGAGCTACAGGCTGTAAAGAATGGTCACATACAGTCTGGTTGCTCAGTCCATATGCAGCTTGGAAGTCAAAGGTGCCAGCTGAGTCGGGAACAATGGCATTTTGGAGGAGAGTTCCGGCGACCACGATCCTACAGTGCCAGACACAAAAAAGCCCCCTTCAGCCCACCGTCCAGCTCTGTGCACTTAAACCTCAGATCCCCTCACTGGCCCCTGGATAGCGCTGCTGAGGGAAGGCAGGACCAGCCCAGACTCAGGTCTGGGTGTGCCCAAACTGGCACCGCTGGCCGACCTGTCTACCTGAGACTGCCCAGAGAAGACTGGCATCGTGTTACCCTACATGGGCTTTTCCTAAAGTGAAGGAATGCTGCTTTTTATTCCACTTCATAAGTGAATGTCTCCTCAAAGGTCTTGGAAACCTTTTCTGAAACTGGGCTGAGATGGAAAGCGAGGCTGCTTGTGTGAGTGCCCCTTCCCTACCTGGGCCTGCAGAAACCACGGGGGCGCAGATCCTGCTCACCTGTCGTAGGCGCAGTGCGTGGACGTAACCGTCGTGTCAGCGGTGTCAGGAATCAGCCACTGGAAGGTGGGGATTGTGCGCAGGCGGATGGATGACCAATGCGAAGGGGTCACGTAGCTGCAGCCAGCGTTGAAGTCGCCCATCAACATAATGTCCTACCAGGAGACACCAGCTGATGGGCCCAGGGACAGAACCGGGCCCTTAAGAGCTCAATCCAATGTGTGGGGCCTCACCTCCATGCCCCACTTCTGCCGGACGTCCAGGTAGACTTCATATAGAGAGTCGATTTCAGCCACTGCATCCAGTGGGGCCGCATGCAGGGGGACGATGGCAAACTCCTTGACCTCTGTGGAGAGGATGGTTGTGCTACGCAAGGAGGCGGGGAGCGGAGTTGGGAGGCAGTCCTGGTCCGAGGGTGCACTGGCCTGGCTGTCATGTGTTTAGGGCTGGGATGGGGGACACATGAAACAGTCCCGGGAGAGAAGTAGTCGGAGGGAGGATGGACGTTTCCCTAAGTAACTTAAACATAAGACCAAAGCACTAGGAATGAGGACGGCACCAAGCTCCCCAAAGAGGTGCGTGGTGGGGGCATGATGTGCTGTGGCTCTTCAAGGCGGGTAGGGGGGCCAGGCAGGGCAGAGGAGCCTCTGTGGCGGCAGCACTCACGGGTGAATGGGGAGGAGAACCTGACAACAGCTGGCTCTCGGCTGAAGGTATCATTTCCACAGGGCTCGCAGCCGTCGTCATACTGGTAGCTGTCCAGCACCGACACCTGGTCCGGCCTGCGGAAGGCCAGGCCAGAGGGTGCTTAACCTGGGGCTGGGGCACAGCTTTGCCAAACCGACCTGTTGCTGCAGGCAGGGGGCCTGGTCTAAGGTGGGACATCACAGATCCACCAGCCCAGAGCTCCTTTTGCCCAGATGGTGAGGCCCAACTCGGTCCCTGCTCTGTGGCCTCCAGTTCTTGCCCCCACACCTGGAGGAGAGGCCCATGGGCTTTCTAGACATCCGCCACCCCCACTTCTGCCAGCGACCTTAGAGGAGGCAGCCTCATCTCTCGGCACCTGGGTTTTACCTGAACACAAAGAGGTAGCGCTCCTTATAGCTGCTGCGACCCAGTGGCTCGCTGGCTATGTAGTGATAGGTGTTGGGGTCATCCCTAGATTGAGGAAACAAATGTACCTCTCAGGGACATCCTGCCACCGACAGCAGGGCTCCTGCCCACGTCAGTGTCCCTGCGGCCGAAGTGGCATCATGCCCTGCAGGGATGATTACTGTCCCGGGTGCTTCCCGGTGCCCTGCCCCCTCACGCACTGATTGAGTCTGTCCAGCAGCTTCCCCACGGCCGTCAGGTGGCTGTCTCTGACCTCCTGGACCACAGCAATGTCATAGCGACTCAGGATCTAGGGACAGGGCCACAGTGGTGCTGAGACTAGGCCCTGCCCACTCCGAGTCCCCGCAGGAGCCAAGCTGCTATTCCCAGGCTGCTGTCACATCCGTTGGCCTGATGACGTCAGCCATGGTAGTGATAAGGGCCCTATCCCCACAGCTGACTGGGCTGAGAGCAGAGGCCTAACAGTCTGATTGCCTTCAGGACTGACCGCTGGCCTGGACCTACCTGCACGATGTAGTTGGAGAGGGTGGCATTGGACATCTTGGTCTCCCCGAAAGTCTGGATGTTGAAAGCTGCTATTCTCAGGGGCAGGACCACATGCAGCACAGCGGTCAGGGTGAGCAGCACCCCCATCAGCCTGGGACCCTTCATTCTGGAGGAGGAGGGACATTGGCATGTGGGTCTGGATTAGAGGAGACGGTGCCCCATCTTCCCTCCATCCAGCCACGCGGAGCTGGTGGAGCCCAAGGCTGAGTAACTGACTTCATGGGCAGTACTGAGCAGCCAGATGCGCCTCAGCCCTCGCCAGCATGCAGAGCCAGGCACCAGCGCCAAGGAGAGGACCTGGGTCTTCTCACCCTCCACCCACCAGAAGACAGGCCCATAAGGGTCACCAGCCTGAGGACGCACTCGGGCTAGTGGTGGGACACTGGCTCACTGCCCTCCCTGCTCCAGGCACCCGCCTGGCCAGGGTTCTTCCCCGCTTGGCCAGTCACGCAGAGGGACCCCACCAGGCCTCTGGGCTTAGTGCCTACCCGCCAACGGCCACAAGTCACACAGCTCTTGAGGCACTAGACACACTCACCCGAAATGCAACTTCTACCAAAGGTGGTGGGAATTCTGCCAAGAACCAGGAATGGATGTTCTTTGGTATCAATTTTCTCCTTTTGTTCCTTTAAGAAAATAAAAACAATTTACAAAGGGAAGTATATTAAGAAACACAGCTGAGAGGCCCACGCAGAGCTGCTACAGCTCTGAATCCCCACAGGGAATGCCCGTCGCGCCTGGGATTTTAAAGGTTTAGGCGGCTGTGACCTTTCCCGGGGCATCACCTGACTGGTGCAGAACAGTGGCGCTGCCTGTGTGGCTTTCCCACGCAGGTGAGTGGTTGGCATGTGTTTATTTTAACAGGCACCGGTTCTTGGTGCTGTAAAAAGAGCACCTGATGGTATTTGTACTTAGTTTTACAAAATCTAATAATTGGGCCAAAGGCTAGTGTGTCCTTCACACATGCTTCTCTCCCAGGGATGGGGAACAGGTGTGCTCTGGAGGGCGGGGTCCTGGCTGCACTCCAGTGTGCAGACTTGAGATGACCTTGGAGCCAGCGGTCAAAGCCAGACGTCCCGCATTGCATGTTGCAAAAAGAGCTCCTGGTGGCTCTCGGGCCCTGGAGCACATAGGCCTCTTACCCATCCCGGCCCCGCTTCATCCATTAGCTCTGAGGGCTGCAGGCAGCTTGGCTAAAAGCTGGGCTCTATGGCAAGCATGTCACACTCCTTCGGCGCATGTTTGACACGCTTGCTCTATGGGGTACATGTGTGATGCAGCCTTGGGAGCTTCAAGGCTTGAGTGCCAGGAAGGGGCGGGGACTGTGGGGCCCACCTCGGTTGCCAGCGAGGCAGTAGTGCACCTTGAGGAAGAGAGCCCGTGTTCCAGGCGCAGGTGTCTCGAGTCACAAAGACACTGGTAGGCAGTATCTGTGAGGGTTCACCACAGGCCTTGGGTCCAGTCGTTCCTAGAATCCTTGACTTTCCCATTTGTAGTCACAAACTTGGTGGCTTATAAATAAAACTTATTCTCTAACAGTTTTAGAGGACAGAGTCCAAAATCCATCTCGCTGAACTGAAATCCAGGTGTTCCAGGGCCGCACGCTCTGTGGGAGGGTCCTTTCTGCCTCTTCAGCTTCTGGGACGCCTGGTGTCCTGGCTGTGGCCACAGCTCCAACCTCTGCCTCCATCTTCGTACCGCCCCTTCTCATAAAGATACGGGTGACTGAATTTAAGGTCCTCCCAGATCATCCAGGACCATCTCCCCATCTCAAGATCCTTAATCACATCTGCAAAGTCCTGTTTTGCCATGTGAGCTTCAGCTTCCAGGTTTCAGGTTCACAGGTTCCAGGAATCGGGACATGGATACCTTTTGGGGTGCCATGTGGGGAGGGGAGGGTCCCTCCCTGGGATGGAAGGGTCTTGCTGCTCTTTTGCCATGGTGGGTGTAGGGCTGCACGGGGCTAGAGTTTGGGAGCAAGGGGGGCTTGAGAGCAGCAGTCGATAGGGACCAAGGCCTAAGTCACAACAGTGCCACAGATCAGGCCAGCTGGTCACGAAGCAGGGGACACAGCGGGGATTGAGAAGAGTTCATTCGGTAAATTAGCGTCTCAAGACCAGACCCTCTGAAGTAATGAAAGCATGCTGATGGACGGCCCTGGCTGTCAGCAGGAATGCCAGTCAGCTCATGTGTCCCTTGATACGGTGCCTCTAGATGAAATCAGGTGGCCTGGTCCTCAAGCTTCCAGGAGCCCCACTGCAGTCTTTTGCGAAGGTTTGATTGCTGAAGTCTCCTGTTCTCAATCCCTGAGGCTGGGACAGCTTTCTTTTTCCTCTTTTTTCAATCGTCACCCAAGGACATGCTTATTGACTTTAGAGAGCGGGGAAGGGAACGACAGAGAGAGAAGCATCAATGTGAGAGAGAACCAACTGGTTGCCTTCCGCATGTGCCCTGACCAGGGCTCAAACCCGCAACCTTTTGGTATATGGGACAACGCTCTAACCAGCTGAGCCACACCTGTCAGGGCTGGGATAGCTTTAAGCATCTCAAAATCCACATGTCAACCAAGCAAGACATCGGCCTACATCACTTTCTTCCCCGAGTTTCTTTCCTGGACACACTTGCCAGACTCTTTGAAGGGAGAGTGTGAGCAAAACTAAATGGGGCCCCTGGTCCAGCATTTGGCCAGACACAGAACACGCCACAGGTGGTATGGCTGTGGTTCACACTAGGGGTAACCGGCCCCTGCAGTTCTCAGCACATGGGACACAGGCACCTGTCTGTCGGCTCCCCTGTCCTCTGAACCAAATGCTACCCCTTCTGCTGTGGGGAGCTCCCAGCTACAGACCTGCCCCCTCCCCAACACACAGAAGAAAGGCCCCACTGGTACGAAGGGCCCAGCTCTGTTGCCATGCCGGCTGCCCTCCTAGAGTTGGGCCTGCCTGAGAGGCAGCACAGCCTGGGGAAGAGCCCGGCCCAGGGGAGTCAGGGATTTGGGGCCTGGAACAGGCTCATCCAATGCACCTTCAACTACTTTGAGCCTCAATAATCTTCATGTGTAAAAAGGGATAAAACCACCGCTTTCCTCTTAGGATTATCTTAAGGATCAATGGCTATAACACTGCTCCACAGAAGAATCATTTCACGTCTCCTCAAAAATCCGTCCATCCCTAAGAACACACCCTCTCAGTCTCTCCATCACTTACCTTTCCCTCGTGGATCTCTCTTCTGCTTCCACCCGTCAGCTGTCGCTGTCTAACAAGCAGCCCCGAAGTTCAATGGGTGCAACAACATGCCATTCTCCCTCACTCCTAGGCCACAGGTCAGCTGGGAGGGCCCTGGGCCACTTCTGGGTCCAGGCTAACGGGGCTGCAGCTACCCAGGGCGTGCTCATCTAACAGAAGAGTCCCATGGGGGAGAGAAACACACGATGCTTCAGCTTGGAATCTGCACACTGTCATTTCTTCCCACATTTTCTTGGTCTTAACCAGCAACAGGGCCAAGCCCAACACCGATGGCAGGAGTCAGGGGTACACTCCACCTGTACCGGGCCCCACACTGGAAATGCAGAGGGGTGCCAGGGAAGGAAAGTTACATCAGCAGGGCAATGGGCACTGACAACAGAGCACTTTCTCTGACCAGGGTGAGCTGTTTTTACATTAACCCTGAGAGTCTGCCCCTCTTTTGGTTAAACAGGCTCCAGTACAGGCAGGGGAAACAGCATATCACAATGAGTTGGAGCCAGTCTTGAGCTCTGATGTGGCTGAAATTAAAGGATAAAGAAAAACATCCTCTAAGCACTGAGGCTGGGAACAAATGGAAAGGAAACCCGACATGTGACCCATCCCTGAGAGCTGTGGGGGCCAAGGTGATGAGCCGCACACCAATGTGTGGTGCAGGGAAGAGGGACATCCACAGATCCAGAGGGAAAGGGTGGGGCACAGAGCTCTGGTTCCCAAAAGTGGCCAAGGTACCACAGGATACGTTTTACTTTTGAGAGGGACAGTGACTCCCAACACTTGGACACCTCATGGTTTCAACATATCTTGCTACATCCCTTTCCCTGATTTCATCTTGCTGCAAAACTAGGTTTCTGGCAGTTACTGAAAAAGCAAATACTGTGTGAAATCAGTGTAGAACAGGAAAAAGGGTGACATATTCAAATCGATATGATACTAAGATTCAAGAAAAACCTGACAGGCACACACATCCCCTTTGTAAGTAGTAGTGGTTACTTACAAAATGAAATGAAGAATTTTTTTTCTTTAAATTGATGTGTATTACTTTTCCAAATGTCTACTGTCAATAGCTAGGACATAATTACTATGTTGTGTGGACTTATCTAATAAATAAAACTTAGGTATTTCTTTGGGCCTAAGGTCCCTTAAAATACTGAACCTTAAGTAGAGGTGCTCTGAACTAAGAATTTTTGGATTTTAACATACATAAGGGGTGTGCCTGCATTACTAAATCATATATCTTACTATACTGATATACCTTCTTTTATGGCCTTCATTATTTACAACACACTATATATCTTGTCACAAAGAAATTTTCAAGTCTACAAACTGCTATTGAGATGAATAATTTCAAGTCTACAAGTTTTAATAGATTACACATCTCAATTATATTTATGCATGCGAGTTCGTACTGATGTAAAAAACTCACCGGTCACCAACGGAGCCAATTTGTTATTCTGCTAACTGGCAAACAAAGTCCAAGAATGTACATGGCAGAACTGAGACAAATTTCTCTCTATGGAGGAGTCCTACAGCTTAACAATGAGGGAGGATGCTAGAATTTCAGACTCCACAATTGGCAGCCCTTCATGTAGGCTCCGATTATCATTGGCTACAACCAGCCTCCAGGTCAGAGAAAACAGCACGTAGGAAGAAACTTGCCAAGGCCATCTTGAATCTGATCAAACTCTAGGGGCAGAAGTTCATGGTCACCAGCATTTTGAGTCCACAGCACAATCCATCCTGTGGGAAACTACAGAACCAAGGGTGGTTTCACCAACACATTTTAAGGGGAGAAAAAAGAGTGAGAAGAAGAGAGGAGGAACTAACAGATTTAAAAGAAACTTGAAATATATCACTAAATGCAACGTGTCATCCTCGTCAGGATCCTATAAAACAATTTATTTGACCATTTAGAAAAACCTGTTGCTTAACAAATCATTTAAGATGTAATCAGGGAGTCCTAACCGGTTTGGCTCAGTGGATAGAGCGTCGGCCTGCAGACTGAAAGATCCCAGGTTCGATTCCGGTCAAGGGCATGTACCTTGGTTGCGGGCACATCCCCAGTAGGAGGTGTGCAGGAGGCAACTGATCGATGTTTCTCTCTCATCAATGTTTCTAACTCTCTATCCCTCTCCCTTCCTCCCTGTAAAAAATCAATAAAATATATATTTTAAAAAAAGATGTAATCAGGGAAATTAAAACACTGATTGGTAAGCAATGAAATTATTAGATTGTTGGGTTTGGTAATGTCACTCTGGTTATGCTTTCAATGATCCTTAGACTTCAAAGTCACACTGAAATATTTAAGGATAAAATGATACAATGTCTGGGATTTGCTTCAAAATGTTGGCCCTAAAGTTGGGTAGTGAGTACATGAAGGTTTTTTATACTAGTCTCTACTTTTGAATATGTTGAAATTTTTAATTAAAAAAATTTTTAGGAATCAAAAATTTTACAAACCACGCAACTGAATACAATGTATCATTAAAAATAACAAAAAGTTAATGTCAAAAATGAAATCACTCAAAATGCTTTAAATATCCAGTTTTGCAAGTTAGAAAGAGTCTCTGGTCACTGTGAGGCGCAGGGATGGGCTTAGGAGGAGGGAAGGCGAGCAGGTTGGCTTGTGGTAAGGAAAGGAACAAGGGCGGGCAGAGCAGAAGGGATGGTGAGGTGGGGAGAACTGTAGCTTTAGGACAGGGATTGGTGGCAAAACGGAGTGGAGGATAAGAAAGATTTCAAACTGTCAGGCATTGTGGATAGATGGATGGATTAGATAGATAATGATCAGCTGTCAAGTCCTGAGGGTCAGTTTTCCCACCTGCTCAGGAAATACTCCGGACTCGCTCCTAATTCTAGCTGCAGCTGGGACAACTCCCCACATGTTCGTGAACTTTCCGCAGCAGAACCAGACTTCAGCCTGAGTCCCTGGCTGCGCTCTCACTATGGCCCAGCCTCCATCCAGATGCTCAGATGCCCAAATCTGTGTCCCCGCGCTCCCTCAGCCCTGTCCCAAATGCATCCCGAGTCTGCACTCCTCCGGTTCTGCAGCCACCACACCGGTCCTTCCCTGAACACACGCACCCGCACATCTTGTGAATGTGCAATCACATCATGTTACTCCCCTGCTCAAAAACTGCCATCTGTCCTCATTGTCCTTCAGATGAAAGACGTGCTTCCCAAGACCTGAGTGATTCTAGCTCACGGCCTCCACTCTGCCTGGAGGGCGAGGGCCAGGGCCACTATGTCATTCCCATTCAGCTCAAATGTCACTTGTTCAGGGAGGCTGTTCTCCCCATCCACATGCTCCCAGTGTCATTTTTCATGACCCTTATCACTTCTTTTCTTTGTTTCAATGTGTTTGCTCTTACTTGTTTATACTAATTTAAGGTCTCAACTCAGCACACTGAGCACAAACATACAGTGGGGCCTTGACTTACGAGTTTAATTCGTTCCGAGACCGAGCTCGTTAAGGAGCTCGTTAAATTACTCTGTCAACTCAAAGCAAAAAATCGGCGGAGAGACAGCTGGTATCTCAAAAAACTCGTTAGTCGGGACACTCGTAAGTCAAGGCCCCACTGTACTGGACTAGATAGAACACAAGCCCCACAGAGCAGAGACCTGTCCACCTTCTCCATGAAACTGCCCCATGCCTAACACAGTGCCTACAGTGCAGGCAAAGCTGGAGGCAGTGGGGTTATGCACTTGCCTCCTGCTCCCCACCTTCCCGGGGAACCCTCCTGACTACAGAGAGAGAACTTCCCTTCCTTGTGGACCCACCTCAGGGAACCCAGCACAGCCTCCCGTCCTGAGCACGAGGGACACTGCGAGGCATCCTAGTGGCTTCTGGGCTCCCGGTTTGAACTGACCAGAAGCTCCCAGGAGCTGATGGCTATCGTGGCCCCACAAGCATGCCCCCCCCCCCCCCCCGGTCAGACTCCACCCAGGATCACTCCTTTCCCCTCCCCTCAGAAGGCATGTTTGCTAACCCCACAGACAGCATTTTAGAGGGCAAAGGGGCTTCTATCCCTTACTACAGATAAAGGGCTGACCTGTTTGCTGTGACATTGCTTTAATCCATGTCAATCAACCTGTTCGGGTCAGCAGTCATCTCTCAACTCAGCACACTGGCCTTGGTCCAGCCACAAGTCACCAGCCCTCGTTATAAAGAAACATTAACCCAGGATGGAAAATTTCTCAGAACAGACGTCTGCACTGCTACCACCAAAACAGCTTCACAGTCACGCTCAGCAGCAGCCCGCTTCCTCACCCGCCAGGCCTGTGCCCCGGCGTCAGGGGAACAGGCGGCACTCGGGTCCCATGGGACATGAGGCCTGAACAACGTAGGCGCCCCCTTTGCACGTCACAGACAAGCCTCTACTGGCTCCCCGACCACCCCGCCCCTCAGCGCTACTTTTCGGTGCTCCACATCCAGGAGGCGCAAAGGCATTTTCTCAGGTTACGTCGGAGAAGTCAGTGCACCTTCAGCTTTAGTCCATGAGCACAAACGTGCTCGTGTTCCTGATAATCTCAAGGCTCTCAGAGATTTCCATTCGCCACAGAACTCTACTGACTGGACTCCCAATGTGCCAGTAATGTTTCCCACAAGGTTGCTGTGGAAAACGTTCTCCAAGTTTCCAGGTGCCCCTCCCCCACCCCGTCTCTCCCACACACAAAAAGCCCTCTCACAGCACCCCCTTTCCACCCAGGGCTGAAGTCCTACAGAGGGGAAAAGCAGGACCTGAAGGGCCAGGACAAGGAAGCTCATCAGGTAGTGCCAGCTGGTTGCACTGGCATTTGCTATTTATTACTTACGAATATTTACTGTTCACCTGTCTTCCAGTTCACTGAGCCCCTCTTCAGCTGCCTCTAACTCCTATTAAATCCACCTACTGAATTGTAATTTTTTTTGGTGTATAAACTGATTTTTATTTTACTATATGCAAAAGGTGTTCTCAAAAGAATCTACAATTAAATGACAGTGATGTTTCATTTATTTCATGATTACAACAGTCCCCCTTTTGGGGGTGAGGTCAAACACTCTTTTTCTTTTTATGTCCATATTTTAAACCAAAATCCTATACAAGCTCTAAACCAGAGTTAAATTAAAATCCTGGAAGATCCAGTCCCCGGCTTCAACCATTCTCTCCTGGCACTCTATGCAGTTCTTTATTGGCATTTGAAGATATCGTACTTGCCATCAATCCTTTGAGATAACTACTGAGACTGACTCCTTTCATGGTGATTATGGGGTCTTGCGTCAAAACAGTTTTTTCTGGGTCCTGAGGGTGTAGTTTATATGTAAGTCTTCTACTGAAAGCATATTTATAAATGATATGTTACTGGATTTACGTTCCATTGTTTTACAGGATCAACTACAGAATGTTCTTTCACGTATTTTGTGTTTTGGTTCTCACTGCACCAATAAGAGATTCACAATGAAAGGCAGTCCCCACTCTGTGCTGAGAAGTCTGTGGCTCTGCAACTTTCCAGAAGGATCTATATGTCTGTCCAACACACCAACTCCAACCATGCTTGGATTCACAGGGTTTGGGTATTTCTGCATTGCAGCTGTTGTAACAGTTTCCCATGGCTGGTCCAAGATGTGCTCCGAAGTCCAGATCTTCATGGTGCCAGTGGCCTGTGCAGTGTCTGGGTGGTGCAAAGAGGCAAAGAAGCCACTCCTATTTTTTTTTTAATATATTTTATTGATTTTTTACAGAGAGGAAGGGAGAGGGATAGAGAGTTAGAAACATCGACGAGAGAGAAACATCGATCAGCTGCCTCCTGCACACTCCCCATTGGGGATGTGCCCGCAACCAATGTACATGCCCTTGACCGGAATCGAACCTGGGACCCTTGAGTCCGCAGGCCGACGCTCTATTCGCTGAGCCAAACCGGTCAGGGCCCTATTTTTTTTTTAATGTAAGCACTTTATTCATTCAACCAACACGATGAGCTTTGGTATCCTTATCTGCAAAATGGAGATGTCTACCTTCACGGAGTTACTATGAAAATTTCATTATTAACAGACATTCAATAAATGACAACCCCCTAAAGCACTAGATTGCACCCTGGAGGCATTAAGAACACAAATAGCAAGGCCCACGGACAGACAATGGGGGGGTGAGGGCCTGAGGCGGGGGCAGGCTGGAGGGGGTCAGTGGGGGGGGGGGGATATGTAACACTTTCAACAATAAAGAATTTTTTAAAAAAATAAATACAAATAGCTCCCTGCTCTCAAGAAGCTAACACTGACATGTTTTACAAAAAGCTACAAGTTTACTAACAACCATATTCTAACATGTATCAAAGTTTCAAGCAGGTCATTTTGAACCTCAAATAAGAAATCACAATATTAAGTAAAAATTGAGAAGAGTAGTGGTGGTGATTTATGGGGTTTCAGTAAAAAATGAAAATGCAGAAAATGTTTACTTTGGTAGATCTGTGTTGATGCCATATTTTCTTTGAAAAGCTTCAACTGTTCCTCCTTTGTGTCTATCTTCTAAAATGCCCTGTTGGCAATTATAGTACAAATCACAGGTTCTTACAAACACATCCTGACAGGTGATCACATGTGTTCTTGGCATCAAAGGTACCTTCACAGCCCTGGCCAGTGTGGCTCAGCTGCTTGGTCCAGTGAACCAAAGGGTTTCGGGTTTGATCCCTGGTAGGAGCATGTACGGGAGACAACTGATGGATGTTTCTCTCACATGGATGTTTCTCTCTCTCTCGCCCCCGCCCCCCCTCTAATTCCCTCTACCTCCTTCTTTTTCTAAAATCAATAAAAACATATCCTCAGGTGAGAAGTTAAAAAAAAGATGTCTTCATAGACCACATGAACTGTTCCCCTAGTTTCAGGTGTGTTCCCCATTCTGATTAGACAAATAGGTCCATATTTCCCAAATATGTCATACATCTCTTCAGCTATGATTTTGTAAGACAAATTCCTTATATACAAAATCGGATTTACTTCAGGTGGAAGTTGAATGAATGTTCACCCTGTGGACTGCCTGCACTGCCATCTCAGCAGGCTGATGAGGTCACTGCAGCAAACGCGGGAATTCTCCTTACTCCTCCGGGCTCACTCAGCTTTGAGAGCAACACAGCATCTGTCACTGCACCTTTGCTTTAGAATTTTAATGTTTTATGATGAATCCAGTTCTCTGTAAACTCTTCGTTTTCGTTATTTACTTTATTGTGCTAATCAGTTATTTTGAAGTCCATGTCTGACTGCTCCAATATCTTCATCTCTGGTGGGCCTATCACTGCCTGTGCCCCCAGTCCTGCTTCTCAGTTGCCTAGTAACCTGACTGCCAGGCACTGTGTATGTCAGAATGGTGGAGAGTCAGGATGATGTCTCCCTCCTGGATGGGCAACAGAGGGACAGGCTGCCATAGTCCAATCGGGGGCTCAGCTGAAACAGCTTGTCTGCAGTCCTTATGAAGTCCAATCTTCCTGTGGCTTGCCCCCACTCCCAGAGTGCCACCCCCAAAGTCCCCGCTGAGAGTCTGGCATATTTCTTAGGGTCATTATCTCGGACACGTCCTGAACAATTCCCAGCACCATGAAACTGCCGAAAATCCTGCTCTGCGTGTCAGCACTCTGCTTCTCTTACCTGAGCAATATCACCAGCAAATGCCTTGAGAGAAAACTGCTGCTGCCAACTTCACTTCTCTGGCCTCCTTCCTCGCAGGAATCTTGGCGCTCAGCTCCTGACTCCTCAGCAGGCCCACACTCCCAGCTTGGGCTTCCCAGCCCTGCAAGCTTGTGTGGAGCTCCTCCAGCTCCTCTGCCTCTTGGCAGCCACCTTACCCAGCCCGAGGGGGAAAGCCAGTGCAGGAAGTGGGCTTACCTCCTTGAGCTCCCCTCTGAGTCGTGCTGCTGGAGTGACTCTGCAGACCTTCAAGCTGCCTTCTGAGTTACGGCCAGCTCTCTGAGTCCTCAGCAGGCAGTGGTCTACTGCAAGCTGCTCCACGCCAGAAAGTCTGTTTTCATTACCTGGAATGAATCGCTAAACTGGAGAGTTGGAAGGGATGTGGGCTGATAACTAGGCAAGCTGGTCCAACTAGCATTGGCCACGTGGACATCTCCGAGCTACCAATGTCCCATACAGAGGCATGTGGCCAATGAGGAAGCCAGATGGGGCACAGCCCATCCCCCTCTGCCCAACCGAGAACCTCCAGGATTGAAGGCCTCCGTATGCTCATCTAAGCCCTACGCTATCTGCCCTCATTAGCCCAGCCCTAACAGTGCCACAGCACGGCAATCCTACACGTCAGAAGCTCAGCCCACACTCCTCCGGGAACAGAGCACCCATCCTCTGCTCAGGGCTATTGCCTCGCTCCTGGAGGAGAAGCCTGGGGGCCTGCGACTGCCTGCACAAGGGCTGCATCCTTTCTGGGGACCCTGCCCCCTCAGCCAAACGGTCAGTGATGGCTTCAGGTGGGTAATGACGGTTTCTGAGAAAACTGCACCCTCTCCAGCTGCGCTGGTTATCTCAGTTAAGTGTGAGCATCTCACAGAGCAGAGCTGACTCGGTCCTCTCTGATCACTGGGCCATTCTCCTCAGCCTCCATGTCCCAAATCCTGACAGGACAGAGGCATGGGAGATAAGGGAGCCCCAAAGTTACAGCTCCTAATGGGGAGGGAGGGAGGCTCTCCATGGACTAAGGAGCCTTCAGACCAACACTCAAGGCCTGGCCAGAAAGCAGAGCTCAGAACGACACTGCTCTGTCATGGGGATCCCAGAGGAAAGGCCGAGGACTGCCAGAGAGCAGGGCCCAGAGCACAGCTGGCGTGGGCTTATCTGCACGGAGAGAAGGGACCGCCTGTGCCCAAGCACAGTAGGACTGTCACGTGGGCAAAGGCCCCTGGGGCCGATACCTGTGTGATGGTGCTGCCCCACAACACAGAGGCCACCACAGCTCTCGCCACGGAACCTCACGCCTGAGTCCCAAAAGTGGGCATCTTTTCCAACTCTGCCCACGCCTTTCTGGATGAGCCAGCTGGGAAGGGCTGCTCCTACTGTCTTCCCCACATCCCACTATTCCCCACCCCTCTACTCACCTTCCATGCTCTCAGTATCCTTGCACCTCAGAGTGCAGGACAGAGGTGATGTGGCCCTACCAGTGGGGAGGACACTCCCCTGGGTGCTTCTCCTGCACCACCATGGGAAACCACAAGCTGTAACAGTCCTACAGCTAAATTCTTCTCTTGGGGACGGGACATGCACAGTGAGAGCTTGTAGGGGCCTCAGGTGTATGAGGAGAAAGGCTTCTATTGAACCATCCTCCCCCAGTGCCTCAGCCTTCCCCTAACAGTCACCTCATCAGGCCTGCCGTCAGCGAGAGATGCTGCACTTGTCCTAGCCTGCTTATGCGGGGCCCGATGGTGGGCGGACACAGGGCCTTGCCTCCACTCTCCACCCAGAGGTCTGGGCACTGCCCCCGGGAGGTGCCTGAGATGCAGAGTCCCAGCTGTGGAAACAAGAAGGTGCCCCTAGGAGGAGACCAGGAAAGGCAGCTACAGACTTTGGCCTCTTGGGAATGGCAAGCTCCAGGCTGTGGGGAGCAGCACTGGTTCTCACGCCACGTCTACACTCCACTCACCTTGTGAGGCTGACTTCCCAGACTCTGGGTGGCCTGCACGGAAGCACAGCTGCCCCAAGCATGGAGGTGCAGGAGGGCAGCACTGGCCACCACCAGCCACTTCAACCCAGCTACAGCCATGGACAGGCCTCATGCAGAGGCAGAGATGGCCGCAGGAAGCCAGCGATGAATCCAGCTCAGTGCTCTCCATCCTGGTCCTCTGACCAAGGCAGAATGGCTAGAGGTAGCGGTCTTGTTGGTCCAGCTCCCCGTCGTCCGAAGGCTGCTGGGGTCCTGGTGGGCCATGGAGGCAGTGCAAGGGTGATCTGTTCCTTTCCTCACTTGGGCTCCTGTGAGAAGGCACTAATCCTCACAGGTACCTCAGCCCACCAATGACAGCCATTGAAGCTGGTAAAACATGAGCTTGCTGTGCCGTCTTGCTGTTCCCATTCATACAGTGACTGGTTAATAAAAGAAAAAAGGGAGTGTTAATGTCAGTCATATTAGCCAGAAGGCACCACCTGTTCTAAAACATCATCAAATTCCTGACAGGCTGTTCCATTTTTTGATCATTTGTTTATGAACTCATCTTATTTTTATTTATTTATTTTAATTTTTTTTAAAATATATTTTTATTGATTTCAGAGAGGAAGGAAGAAGGAGAGAGAGTCCAAAACATCAATGATGAGAGAGAATCATCAATCAGCTGCCTCCTGCACGCCCCCCACTGGGGATCAAGCCCACAACCCGGGCATGTGCCCTTGACCAGAATCGAACCCGGGACCCCTCAGTCCGCAGGTCGACGCTCCATCCACCGAGCCAAACCAGCTAGGGCAACTCATCTTATTTTTAAAAATATATTTTTATTGATTTCAGAGAGGAAGGGAGAGGAAGAGATAGAAATACCAATGATGAGAGAGAATCATTGGTCAGCTGCTTCCCACACGCCCACACTGGGGATGTGCCCCAACCGGAAATCAAACTGTGACCTCCTGGCCCATAGGTCAATGCTCAACCACCGAGCCACGCCAGCCAGGTATGAACTCATTTTAGAGTAAAAGGAACCCTGAACAATGAGAAAACTGGACAAGAAATGATACTTTTTTTTTAGTCCCTGGACACCAGTGCAGAACAGTGATTCCCCAAGAGAAGGGAAACCGTGAGACTGAGCCCTATGACTGTACCAGCTACGGCCGAGGTGGTTTCCAGGCTACAGTGTAAGGAGGGAAAACTCAGACTCAGCCATCTCCTGGAAGGAGAGTTAGGAGGTCAGGGAGGCCCAGGTAGCTAGAATGCATGAGGCAGAGTGTTAGGGGATGGGGATGCACAGACAACAGAGCTCCAGGATCTGCAGAGAGTCCCTTGAGTCTTCGGCTGAGGACAGGTCTGTACCTGTGTGAGAGAAACTACGGAGGAGGCCCAGGCAAGAATCCCTGGAAATGAGCAGACAGAATAATCCCCAGAGCTCATAGCGCGATGGGAATATTTTGTGTTCCCCAGCCATGTGGAAAGTCCTCTAATTCACAGGATATTGGGTGGAATCCTTAGAAGGGCATCCTCCTTCACAATGGGGCTCAATTAGCCACAGACCAAAGGCAGCTCTGCACCTACCCTAACACAGCTCAGAACCAACTGATGCCAAGGAACTGAACTGCACGCCAGACCAAGATTCACACTATTTGAAGAAATATAACAAAACCCAGCAACCAACAACATAAATTCACAATATTCAGTATCCCATAAGGTCTATCAGGGCTCAGCCAGGCTACAGAAATCACATGGTATTTTAAACAACGGAAGTTAATACAAAGAATTATTAGCTATTTATAGGGAATTAACTAAAAGGGAACAAAAGAAAATTGTACAGAATACCCTAGGGCAGTGGTCGGCAAACTCACTAGTCAACAGAGCCAAATATCAACAGTACAACGATTGAAATTTCTTTTGAGAGCCAAATTTTTTAAACTTAAGCTATATAGGTAGGTACATTGTTATTAACTTAATTAGGGTACTCCTAAGGCTTAGGAAGAGCCACACTCAAGGGGCCAAAGAGCCGCATGTGGCTCGCGAGCCACAGTTTGCCGACCACGGCCGTAGGGTGAAGAGAGGTACCCAAGAGAAGGATTCCAACCTGGGAGATGGTGGTCACAGCCCACTGGATGGAAATTCAATAGACTCTCTAGACCAGGGGTAGGCAAACTTTTTGACTCGAGGGCCACAATGGGTTCTTAAACTGGACCGGAGGCCGGAACAAAAGCATGGACGGAGTGTTTGTGTGAACTAATATAAATTCAAAGTAAACATCATTACATAAAAGGGTACGGTCTTTTTTTTTTTTTTAGTTTTATTCATTTCAAACGGGCCAGGGCCGTAGTTTGCCCGCGGCTGCTCTAGACCAAGGCCAGGGGTAATGACCACCTGCTAGGATGCTAACACAATCAGCTGGGAAGCTGTCTGCAAAGAGTGCTAGGATGCCACCAGGCTGGAGGTGCTGATGACCTAACCAGAAAGCTACCAGGAGGCCTGCTGGGGTTCCCATGGAACTTGCCTGGCAGTGCCTGTCCCCTTCCAGATATATAAATAACCTCACCACCGGCATCTGTGAGAGTGCTGCTGAATTTGTAGCTGGGAAGCCACCAGAGAAAGTGCCATGGAAACTCACGGGAGGTGAGCACCCCTATGTGTCCAACATGTTAGTCCACATCACAGAACAGCAATAAGCAAAGCACACAGAACCAGGAAAAGAGGACTTCCCCTTCCAGCACCCTCCACTGGCAGATTATCACCAGGCTAGCTGACAAAGGAGGAGTGTTCCAGTATTACAAGCAAGCAATGAAGGGTGCAAAAAAGATAAAATATGAACCATGACTATAAGAAAAATCAATGAGCCCTAACCAACTTGGCTCAGTGGAGTGTCAGCCTGTGGACTGAGGGGTCCCAGGTTCGATTCCGGCCAAGGGCACATGCCTGGGTTTCGGGCTTGATCCCCAGTAGGGAGTGTGCAGGAGGCAGCCGATCAATGATTCTCTCTCATCACTGATGTTTCCATCTCTCTCTCCTTCTCCCTTCCTCTCTGAAATCAATAAAGAAATATATTTTTAAAAAATCAATGAATAGGAACTGACCTAAAAATAACAGAGATAGAGGAACCAGCAGACAAGGACAATAGAATAGATATTATATATATGCTTCATACATTAGGAAGGTAGAGCTTGATGAGATCATGGAAGGTATAACCCAAATCTCGGAACTTCTGCAGGTGAAATAAACAATATCTGAAATGAAAACATACACATTATCGGATTAACATAAGATAAACACTGAAAAAGAAAAGATCAGAGTTCAAAGACAGAAAATGAAGCTATTCAAATAAAGCACAGGGCGGGGGAGGGGAAAGCACCAGACATTATCAAGTAATCCAATGTGCATGATAGAGGCCCAGAAAAAGAAGAGCAATGGAGAGACAGAAATAACGTCTGAAAAAAATAAGAAAAAAAAATATCCGATAATAATAAACTCGGCGGGAAACCAAGATGGCGGCATAGGTAAACACCGGAGTTTGCTGCCTCGAACAACCACTTCAAAAATACAACTAAAAGACGGAACGGACATCGCCCAGAACCACAGGAAGGCTGGCTGAGGGGAAATTCTTCAACTAGAAGGAAAGAGAACAGCATACTGAGGCTCAGAGGAGGCGCAGTGCGGAAAATACAAAGGTGCGGAGGTGCGCGAGGAGCGGGCTGGTGGCTGAGGGCGCGGTTGTCGTTTTCAATTGGGAGGGAGGCTCAGGCTCTGAGCTCCAGTTCTGGGCGAGTCTCTAGGGACCCAGACTCAAATGGCAGAAGCGGGACTGTCTGGCATCGGTCGGAACGCGAGGGCAGCTTTCTCTCCGAGGTTTGCAGCGGTTGCTGGGACTCTGAGAGGCAGAGCCTCTGGGGACGGGACTGAGAGCAGCCATAACTGCTCCCTCCACCCGCCCTGTTGATCCCGTGCGACCCTACCTGCCCAAGCCCTGCATAGAGCCATTTGCCAGATAGCCTCAGGCAATGGCTAGATTAGCACCTCCCCAGAGGACAGAAGTTTTCCCACTGCAGACACAGCTGATTCTCACAGCCAGTTGGCCTGGAGGTCAAATCCCCCTAGTATTAACTACAACAATCAAGGCTTAACTACAACAAGACTGCGCACAAAGACCACTAGGAGGTGCACCAAGAAAGCATAAAAAATGCGGAGACAAAGAAACAGGACAAAATTGTCAATGGTGGATATTGAGTTCAGAACCACACTTTTAAGGTCTCTCAAGAACTGCCTAGAAGCCGCTGATAAACTTATTGAGATCTACAAGAAATCTAATGAGACCCTCGATGTTGTGATAAAGAACCAACTAGAAATTAAGCATACACAGACTGAAATAACGAATATTATACAGACTCCCAACAGCAGACCAGAGGAGCGCAAGAATCAAGGCAAAGATTTGAAATGCGAAGAAGCAAAAAACACCCAACAGGAAAAGCAAAATGAAAAAAGAATCCAAAAATACGAAGACAATGTAAGGAGCCTCTGGGACAGCTTCAAGCGTACCAACATCAGAATTATAGGGGTGCCAGAAGATGAGAGAGAGCAAGATACTGAAAACCTGTTTGAAGAAATAATGACAGAAAACTTCTCCTTCCTGGTGAAAGAAATAGACTTACAACTCCAGGAAGCGCAGCGAACCCCAAACAAAAGGAATCCAAAGAGGACCACACCAAGACACATCATAATTAAAATGCCAAGAGCAAAAGACAAAGAGAGAATCTTAAAAGCAGCAAGAGAAAGAAACCCAGTTACCTACAAGGGAGTACCCATACGACTGTCAGCTGATTTCTCAACAGAAACTTTGCAGGCCAGAAGGGAGTGGCAAGAAATATTCAAAGTGATGAATACCAAGAACCTACAACCAAGATTACGTTATCCAGCAAAGCTATCATTCAGAATTGAAGGTCAGATAAAGAGCTTCACAGATAAGGAAAAGCTAAAGGAGTTCATCACCACCAAACCATGATTATATGAAATGCTGAAAGGTATTCTTTAAGAAGAGGAAGAAGAAGAAAAAGGTAAAGATACAAATTATGAACAACAAATATGCATCTATCAACAAGTGAATCTAAGAATCAAGTGAATAAATAATCTGATGAACAGAATGAACTGTTGATTATAATAGAATCAGGGACATAGAAAGGGAATGGACTGACTATTCTTGGGGGGGAAAGGCGTGTGGGAGATACGGGAAGAGACTGGACAAAAATCATGCACCTATGGATGAGGACAGTGGGGGGGTAAGGGCAAAGGGTGGGGTGGGAACTGGGTGGAGGGGAGCTATGGGGGGAAAAAAAGAGGAACAAATGTAATCATCTGAACAATAAAGATTTAATAAAATAAAAACAAAACAAAACAAAAAAAATATCCTAGCCCTAGCTGG